GCCGCTCCGTGAAAGGTCTTCCGGCAGTTGGCGCAGCGCAGAGTGCAGTCCTCGTAGCGGCTCTCGTACTCGTGCAGGAACCAGCAGTAAGGGCACATTGTCCAAAACGACGCCGTGGCGCCCTGGATCTCGCGGTCGAAGCGGGCCTTGCGCTCGGGGTCGGAGAGCACGGACCAGGCCTCGCGCACGCGCATGAGGGCCTCTGCGGCGAAAGGGAAGGTGTTCTTGTTGGGGTCCAGGAGCCGCACCAGGGTCTTGAACTGCCGCCGCACCGTGTCGCGCTCCGCGGCGGAGGCGCCGTTGGGCGGGAGGCGCAGGATGGAGTACCAGTCCAGGCGGTGGTCGTGGCGGGGCGTGGCGGCCGCGAGGACTTCGGCGACGGCGATGATTTGGTCGAGCTGGAGGGCGACGTCGGGGTCGGATCTTGGGAGGCGAGTGGCGGAGTCGCGGCACGCGGTGAAGTCGCGGCGCGTGAGAAGGGAAAGGCAGGGACGGAGGAGGGAATCGGAGCCGCCAAGGGTTCTGTTGAGGTCTGTGTCTGTATCTGGTTTCTGTTTCATTTTCTTTTTCTTTTGATTTTTGATATTCTGACTCGGGGAACTGGTGAGGGTGACCGTGTGCCGGAAACTGAGGGTTTTATATTCTGGATGAGTATAATAATAATAATAATAAAAATATATATGATCTAAGAGTAAAAAATTTCAGTCTAACGGTTGAATTTAATAAATTCACATTTAATATAATGTTATTAAACGGTGTAATACTCAGTAAAAAATTATACTAATATTACTATAACCTTTCTTATATATACTATCAGGAGAAAGGTACTTCATGCATTGTATTAAAAATAAATAAATAACTAAATAAGAAAAAAAATTAGAAGTTACTCATAAAAAAGTAGTTATTAAAAAATAAACCACGATAAAATTGTCCATATAAAAATGAAAACCAAAAATAATTATTGAAAGTGGTATCTTCTTTATATATTAGTATATATATATATTAACTATCGTACTTAAAGAAATTACGCTTTAAATTAATTAATTAAGTAGAAATTTTTGTTTACATAGTTTTTATGATTGTTATTATAAAAATAAGAAGAAAATGAGGTATTTTATGTTAATTTATTTAAAAATAAAAAGATAATGAGTAGTTATTTTAAGAAAAAATTATAAAATTGAATATAAGTAAAAATAAATAAATGAATGAAAGAGAAGGTGGTTTAAATGTAGTAATAGGGATAGATTAGTTCAACATTTGTATACTCCAAAATGGAGTATCTCTTTTATTAATAGTATATATATAGATTAAAATTACACACATATATTTGTAATCATGATATTAGTACAAAATATTTATTGTCAAAAGTGGATATTTCTTTCTCAACGTAGTCTATTTTATATCTAAGGACAAATTTTAAACTTTAAACAACTTAGATATAAAATAGACTACGTTGAGAAAGAAATATCCACTATTTTTGTCTAAGTAACTAATATAAGAATGTCTTTTGAATTTAGGAATTAAAGTAAGTATTTACTTGTAACCTTAGATCACTTATCATTATAAAATTATAAAATTAGATTATAAAATTTCTAATAAGTCTATATTTAACTACTTACTAGAGGTGAGCATGACCCAACCCTAACCCTTGTTGATTTGGATGAATTCGGATCCTAATATTGAACCCAATATAATTTTGCAGGATGAGTTCAAATTATGCTTCAAATTGTCCCAACCCGTTCTTTTAAAATGTATAAATTCTTAGAATAATTGTGTATTAATAATATAATAGATAATATTTTGACTCTATAGAGGATAAATGAAAAGTCATGAGTGACGGGTCTTGGATAATTTTTAATAACTATCTCAAAGTCAAAACATAGTCACCAAATTTCATTGTTGAAGCACAATGATAAGACATTAGCTTGGGATCGTTTCTCGAGATTGAAAATATTTTGGTTTTTCTTTCATGATGAAAATTTCCTTTTAGGGCTAGCATCTATTGTTGGTAAACCTATCAACGTTATTACCAATTCGCTTTATGTTGATTGTGGTTGCTTTGTACATGTTTGTATTGAGGTCGATCTTAGCAAGCCTTAGGTAAGGAGGGTAAACATTAGAATCCATTGGTATTATATTGCGTACGAGATCTTACCTCTATTATTTGGAATTTATGGCAATTATGGGCATTGTTGTAAAGATTATGCTTCCAAACCTTTGAAAGTACTTTCATTGACTACTCCAACCACTCCAACTATGAAGGCCCATCCAGTTGATGAGGATTCATTGATTACGAAGAATAATCAAGAAAACTTATCTCCAATTATTTATTTTTTATTTTAATGTTGAAGATTGTAACGAAAAAGCCACCAAAAGTTTAGTTGCCCTAAAAAACAAAATATTCCAACTAGAAATGATGAGGCAAAATCTCTTAATGTGAAAATGATACCCCTCTCAAATTCAAGTACTTTGAATGCCATTAATCATTCAAGCATGCAACAAAATGAGAGGCATAATTACAAAAATTAAAGAAACACACACATAAGAAGGTTAAATGTGTGGAGTATATTTTAACAACTTTTCGCCAATGGACAATTATGTTTACAAAAGTAGTTTGTCCAAAAGAGCATGAGGGAAGAGGCATAAGATAAAACACAAGATATTTTTATACTTGAATTGTTCACTCAACCTTAGCTACATCTAGTTACCTTCGAACTCTAAAGGTTCTACTAACATGGAAACTTTTATACACGTATTCTTAATTGCTTTTCTTGGGTACAACTAGTATTCTCTATGCTACTATTGGCCTTCTCACAGCAACATGTTGCAGTATTCTTTAAGTAACTTCTTCAAGCTTACAACAATAATTGTGTAGTGTTTATGATAAACTCTCAGAAAGAGGATATGTAAGATTAGGTAAACTCGAAACTTAAGCTAAAAACTTAAGTTATTCTCTGATTGTCCACTAGATGATGAAATACAAGAGTTATAAACTTAGAAAGATTTCAGCAGAGTTTTGGCGTAACTTAAAATTATTTTACAATATACATATAACTACCACACCTTCTTTTAAAGTCTTCTTGTATTTATAAGCTTTAGAAACATATCTGTTGGTGAGCGCATTTATTCTTGTTGTTGAGAAAGACGATCTTCGATGTTCACAATATGGTTGTTCCACACTTGTGTTCAGATGCTTTAAGGCTTCATAAATGCTTTGTCATTATAAAGAAATGAAGCAGAGAGCAACAACATCTGAACACATTGCTACATATGTTGATAATTTTGTGTCTAACTTTCATGTCTTAGATGTTGCACTTGGTTTATATGCATTGAACCATTTTATGCATTATCACAAAAGAGGAAATAAAACATAATAGTATTTATAACATCCATAGATTATCATAGAGCTTATCAGTTAGACTTAAAATGTTTGAATATGATTTTTAAGGGTGTGAAACATTAAAGCAAGTTTTGGACTTGTGAACACATATAAGACACAAACACTCTTCTCAACGCATTGGACATTGTATGCAAAAGCTAACAATCCTAATTTATTTGTGTTATAGTTGTCTCATTAAGGAAAACTCTAAAGGTTCTAATTCGAGTAGAAAAAGATTGATCTTGAAGGTGATGAAGTGTGAGGCACAATCACTTCTAAGAGATAAGGGGAGGATGCATAGAAGACAAAGCTAGAATTTTATCTTCATAGGATTTGTACTTAAGATCATAATCCTCCTAAGTAAAATTTAGTATACTTTATTGCATCACGTACTGAGCAAGTATGAACTTTATTGTCTTCGCTCTTTCACATGTTTCTTAACTAGGGTTAGTAGTTTGATCCTCAAACGAAATAAGTTATTCATCTTTAAGGAATACTTAAGTGTTGCAAAGATTCTCAAAGTACCTTGAAGCATCTTCTAAGGTTGAATCCAAACCCTAAACTCATTAGGACATTTGTCATCAAGTTATACTAGAAAAGTATCAACCTAGAGAGGTATAACATCAACTACAACGTCACCACTTCCACAATAGTTGTAGCTTCATGTGTTGGAGGGAATGGAACAACTAGTTTTTCTGTATTTGATTGCTTGATAGAAAAAGTCTCAAGTATAGGTTGTTGAGCTATTTGAGTGGGCCATTAAGATATTTAAGGGTCTTAATACAAAGATGGTTCAAGCTATGAGATATCACTTAATATGAATTTGGATAAAGGGTTATCAAATAACAGCCTTGAAGTTTTTTCTAAGGACTAGAGGTTTCCACCCAATTAAATTCCTTTTCTACCTTTTGGGAATCAATAGACGATCCACTAGGATGATCATGTAGTAGTTCCTTAAGGAATTGGTCTTGCTTTTTGGCCTCTACTTCTTTGGTAGGTGCCTTTACTTCTTTGGCAGGTGCCTCTAGTGCAGACTAAAGAATTTCTTCCTCAATATCATCTTATTCTTCTTTTTATGCTAATTCAGATTCCATGGTTTTCCTTTTTCTTTTGTCAAAGCTAACTTTCATTTCTTCTTAGGTTGTGCAACAAATTCAAGCATCAACACAAAAATCTTTGAGGAGGTTGCAAGTTGAGGTTTAGAGGGGGTCTGATTAGACTAAGAGATGGGTTTGTCACTTGAAGTCAAGTTAGAGACAATAGGGTAATTAGAGGTGAAAGAAATTTAAGTCATGAAGATGGTTGGATTTTAAGGGTTTTTGTTTTTATTTTATGAGTGCTCTTAGAAGGGAAATTGCTTGGGTAAAGGGAAAAGTTTGTGGTTGTTAAAAAAGTTTGTTTGTTATTCTTTAGGACAAATAATATGGATTTAACCAATGTTTAGTTGGTGAGGTATCGTCTTCAAAAAGGGATTCCTCCTTCACTTTTATATATTTTACTTTGTACCCAAGGAAGTACTCAATAATATGCCTTTTCTCATAGTGGTTAGATTGATTTCTGACACCTCTTTACCAACTTCATACTGGGTTGTATTTGTATTAGTTTTTCCAAAATCTTTGTAAATAATATTCTATAAGGAATGGATGCTCTTTTCTTATTGTTGTCACAAACACTTAAACAAGACATCTTGTGCTTAAGAATGAGACTAGGTATATTCACAACTTCACCAACTAATGGAATCTACCAAAGGTTGCGCTTAGAAAATTTGACTAATAAAGAAAATGGACTAATTTGTTTAACAAGTCCTATGAATATATATCATCTAGTGTTATTTTCTACATGTTAATGAAGATTTGAGCCCAATTTAAAGATAACATGACAAGTTCAAATTCACATAATCAAGAAAAAACATTAATGGATTGGACTTTAATTAGTTTTTGGGCCAAATAGTTTCTTAAGCCAATTATCTTAATTATTAATGTAATTTTTGTATTTCTTTTTAGTTGAATAATTTAGATGTATTTTCATATTTTCTAGGTTATTTTTTTTTTTTTTTTTTAAGCTTCCTAAACCATAATGATAATTAGTGGGATAGTGGAAAGTAAGTCCTAGTAAACAATAAGTGTTAGTGGGAATTCATTTCTAAGTGGAGTGTTAGTGGAAATTTACTACTTGTTGCCTATCCAACCCTATACATAGGAACCTCTTGTAAGACTCCAAGGGA